AAAATAAAATAAAATAAAATAAAATAAAATAAAATAAAATAAAATAAAATAATAAAATAAAAAAATGCTGCTGGGTACTACTGTAAGAAATGGAAAGAAAGAAGTTTCTCTTTGTTTTTAAATTATTACACTCATTTTTGTGTGTGTGTGTGTGTGTGTGTGTGCGCATGTGGGTGGAGGTCAGAGGACAATTTACAGGACTTGTCTCTCGCCTTCCATCATGTGGATCCTGAAGATCGAACCCCAGTCATCAGGCTTGCCCGCCAGCGCTTTCATCCTCTGAGCCGGGGCCCTGTGGGAAGTTATTCTTGACCACAGGTGGAGCACTCAGGAGCAGTCTCAATTAGTGGAAGGGCCCAAGCCCTCCGCGCTCGCTCGCTCGGCCTGCTCCCTTCTTTGGCTGACTTTCCCAGCTGTCACCTGACCTCTGTTAGGTCAGTTAATGCTGGCAGATAATAAGCTCCAAGCGGGCAGGGGTTCTGCTGAACACCTGCGTGCATGCCTGGCTCTGGACAAGATGCTTGGAACAAAACGATAGAGACGTGATGGATAAATGACTACTTGAAAATAATTTGACTACAGGGAAATGCGAACGGAGCCGAAGCTTCCTTCCTGCTGGGGCGGCAGGTGTTGCTGGTGATGGAGGCGGCAGTACCACAGTCGTCCCCCCCTTCTCCACCTCCAGAGTCGGGAGGCTGGATCCTCTAAGGCCAGAAGGTATGGGTCCAGCGCGACCCTGCGTGCAGTGCGTTGCAGGTCAGGGGTGCGCAGGGAACCCCTCGCCGCAGCCATTTCCGGCTCTTTGTGTGACAGCAGCCGCGGCGAAGGGGCTGGGCACCGTGGCCAGGGGAGGAGCCGCCGCGGGCGGAGGGGCGGAACCGCGGGCGGGGCGGGGCGCGGCGCGGCGCGGCGGCCGGCCGGCGCAGCGGCGGAGCTGGGCTGAGCATCCTGCGCCCCGGCGCGGGGGCCTGCGGTAGCCTCGGGCCCCTCCCCTGGACCTGCCATCGAACCAGGTAAGGGGACATCGGGGCTGATGCAGGGACCGAAATGCTGCCAAGGCGGAGGATGCGCTCCTGAGGATGCGCGTGGGGCGGGCGCCACTTCTCGCAGCCCGCTGGGGGCGCTTGGCTCGGCGCCCGAGGCTGCGCGGCCCCGGGTCCCCAGAGGCCCAGCTGCAGGCCCCGCGCTGCCCCTTCTCTTCTCCGCCGCACCGGGCGCCCTGAGCAGGGAGCGTCTCCCAGGAGTCGTGGGTACAGCGCGGAGCTCTGCGCGGCGACCGCAGCAGCAGCAGGTGCGTGGCCTGGGCCGGAGCTGCCCGCCGGAAAGGGAGACGGGGATAGTCTAGCGGACCAGGGACACCTGCAGGGGACACGAGCCCGGCGGGGGCCACATCCCTGCGCCCAGGTACTTAAGATCGCCGGCCGTTTGCAGCCACCGTCATTCCGCCAAAGCCAGCGAGAGCTGCCTGGGCCCGCCTGGTAGGCAATGGGCTACTGGGCGCCCGCGGTGAACCGAAGCCGGGTGGGGCCGGGGCCGCAGTGGCGCGGTTTGGGAGAGAAGGGCTGTGATGAGCCGGGAGGCATGGCTGACCTGCTTCGAAGCGTTCTGGCCTTTGCTAACGCCTCTCTTCTGGTTGGCTCGGGGGGTGGGGGTGGGGGGGAAGGTGGGGTGACGAAATCCTAGCGGACAAGGTTTCCTTCCTATGTAGCTAGCTGCCCACCTGTCTGTTGTGGGAGATGCCCACATCGCCTCCAGGAAGGTAAGCCCTCTTGTGTGCACAGGAAGGGAAAGAGCAGCCTGTGCCTAAAGGGTGGGGGCAGGGAGAATGGGCCAACCGAAGGATGGTTTTCTACCGTGACTGTCCGGGTGCTTTCCAGCCCAGGGAACCTGACTTTGAACTTGGCTTGCCCTATTCCCTAGTGCCCACAGCCCCACAGTTGGGCAGGAAGATTTGGGGGACAGACTGCAGGCTATTGGCTCCTAACCTATCATTTCTACTTCTACCTCTTGCCCCTCCCCTTAGGGCAGGAAGTGACCAGCATTCTCTTGGGCACAGGCCCTGCTAGACCCCATGGCTAGCACTCAGTGCACCCTTCCATGAAGGTAGTTGCCCCTTCCCCGAACCCGCTCTGTGGCCCGACGACCCTCCGTGTAATGCCTCCGTGTAATGCTCTGTGTGTCGCTTCTCTTCTGTCAAACTTGCTTGAGAAAGGAACCAGTGGGTGGTGTTTATCTTGAAGGGCTAAATACAAAAGGTTTTCCCATTGGATGCGGAGCAGGTGCTTCAGAAGTCATGGGATCTAGAAAGGAAGCTGAGGAGAGGAGACATTTTAATAGGAAGCAGAGCTGAAGTCAAAATATTTGGTGCCTCTAATGGTTGGCTTTCAGATGTAAGCTAGATGTGGGAGAGATACTGTCTTCAAAACGACATGGCCAGCAGCTGTCAGATCCATTTTCAGTCAGGGCCGCTTTGGCCTGGTGGACAGGAATACTGTAGGCGTGTGTGTGCTTGTGTGTGTGTGTGTGTGTGTGTGCGCGCGCGCGCGTGTGCTTGTGTGTGTGTATGTGTGTGTGTGTGTACGTGTGCGCACGCGCACACGAGCAGGCGCGTGCTTGATAAGTCAGGGGTCACTCTCACCAGAGGCCTTTGTTGAGCACCAGTCTCCACTTGTCGGGTGTGAAGTTTTCCCATAGAGAGTTCCTCACTGGAGCTAGCCGCCATCTGCCCTGACAGTTATGAAGCCACACACAGCACGCTGCTGCTTACAAAGCCGGTGCCTCTGGTTACTTCTGCTTGCTGAGCCCCAGGCCAGCCGCATTAGCTCACTAAGCTTCTTTATTATATTTCCTGGCCAGTTCTGACTGGTTGTGTAGGAACCTGAGACTGCCTTGTTCCCTCTGTGGTGGAAAATGGAAAGGAAAACGTGATTTAGGCGTTGGGCCAACAGTGGGGTTATACAGCTGTGTGTAGGCTCGGGGACTTTTGCTCAGATCAGATCACAAGGAGAAGTAATTTAACAACTAGTGAAGGGCCCCGATAACACGACATCTACCCTCTGATTATTGTGCCCCTCTCTGTTCAGTGGGCCTCTGAGGCTGTCATTGACCTGAAAGCAAAATTAGGTGATGAATAGGCAACAAGCTAATTAGCATTGGGAACAGAGTTGTGGGGGAAACAGTATAGGGCTCCTGTCCTCACATTTCAGCCTCAGCCTCCATGCTCAAAGAGGCTTCTTTGGGCCGCTGTTAGCCCCAGGGTTCCACCAAGAGCTTCACAAAATGGCCTTTTTATGGCCTCCATGTGGCTACCATAACAATGAGTCTATTTCTTTACTGGCAAGTATTAATTATTCACTTACAGTTGACGAAACCAGACGTCAGTCACCTCATTGGAGCCTTTGTGAGAGGCCTTTGGTCTTGTCAAGTTGAGAAGCAAAGCCATATCTAGGGTCCAGCGAACGGCCTTGCATTTGTAGCTGGAGGTGGTGGCTGGAAAGGAATGGAGGCAGTATGTGCCTTGCAGGCTGTGAAAGGGAGGCCAGCTGTGGTGGGGGAGGGGCTGGTACATCTTTGGATGCTCTTATTAAATGAAGGATGCACGAAAGTGCTGAATAGGGTCTGTGGCGCACAGTTGCTCCTCTATTTATATCTTTGTTGTTGCGATGCATCATTTACAAGATCACCGAGAATCTGGTTCACGGGCACATTCCACTCACAGTCCTCTCTGACCTCTGGACTTCCGGGGCTTACCTGAATCTTGCCTGAATCTTTTTCAAGGGGACTTGGTCTGCCCGATCCATTGCAGTACATATGCCAAAGACATTGGGGAGGCATGTGATCAGAGAAGGTGTTGGCCAGGGCTTCATTCACCTGGCAACTGCTGAAAGTGGATGTGGTAGAACTTGAGTAGGCAGGAGGAAGGGGGTGGGAATGAGTGAGCACAGGTAAGTCTCACGTTGCAGCACACAGAGTCCGGGAAGAACTTCTTCCTCTGTGTGTATTGAGCATTTTGCAACCAACTCAAAATGTCAAGGGCAAGCTTAGTTTTACTTCTGGGACAGACAGAGCAGCACAGTGAACTTGGGAAGTGGGATTTCTCCTTAACTCGCTTTAACATGGCTGCTGCCTTCCTGACTTTAACAATTGAGCAATGGAAAGCGTTCTGCCCAGCCTGTTACCTGTCTGTCACCACCAAATGCCTGGGATGAGATAATGTCTGTGAACCCCCATTTGGAGAAGAAGTCATGGAAAGAGGAAGAGAAAGAGGCTCCTGCGCTTGGCTCTTTTGGATGGGTGCCTCCGTTCCTAAAGGAACTATTTATTAAGTGTGTTTTGAGTGTCAGTTTTAAGAGCTGAATCTGTGGCTTCTCTGTACCAAAAGGAAACTGAAAGGCACTTTGTAGTTCACAGGTTCATAATGTCCTTACCCTGTGAAAGACACTTCAGGATTCACTCAGTGTGGGGGGGATATCTCCCAGGATGCAAAGGTTTGGACAGTGACTTTGTGGCTACGGCCGTTGTATTAAGGACTGTGTGTGTGAGAGAGAGGGGCCTCAAAAGACTTCCATGTAAACCATGCGTCTTAGGTCCTGGCAACAGAGGAGAAATTAACTGAGTGCAAATTCTTGAGAGAAATGGTTTGAGAGGACAGAGTTGAGTGAAGCAGACTTTCTTGAAGGACTCCTTCTGCCTGGGTGGCATTTTGAAAGCCTCCTGTCAGGTCAGTAGCAGTGTGATGACAGGGGAAAGCAAATAGAACCTTCCAGAGGAAGAGACCCAGAGATGACCTCATTAGTGGGGCCGTTAGATTGGATGCTGGCCCCAGTGGCCAGTCTTCTCAGTATAGAATTTCTTGGACTTCAATCCTAAGGTGGAATGGAGGGATTGTCTCTATGATTGATTTCAAGTGAGTTGCTTCTCTTGTTGCTGTCACAAAAGTACCCCACAAAAGCAACTTAAGGAAGAAAGGATTTCTTTTGGCTCACAGTTTAAAGAGGTTCACTCCGTCCTGACAGCAGGAGCGTGAAGCAGCTGGTCACATTATATCCTGAGTCAGGAAGTAGAAAAAGATGAATGCCAGTGCTGTTTGTTTGCTTATTATTGTTGTTGTTATTATTATTCCTTTTTATTTATTCTGTGATCACAGCCCATGGGGTGGTGGACTCACTCAACACTGAGGTAGACTTTCCCTCCTTCGGTAAACTTCTCTGGAATCACTTTCAGAGTTTGAATCCTGTCAGGTTGACAGTGATGATCAACCTTGACAAGATGTGAGGCTTTCCACAGAAAGTAAAGCTGGTGGGCCAGTTAGGAAACTTCTGGAGACTCCCTAAGTTTGAACCAGTCCCCCCGCCCCAGCCTTCCCTGAAGGCACATAAGATTAAGGAACATGCAGAGTAGACCCTCATCACAGAGACCCATTATCTCAGTACTTAGGGTTGAGCAAAGTGTGAATAGTGAGGTAGGAATTAAAATCTGAATGTCCCCCCTCACCCTCTGATTCTGTTACAGCTCCATGTGGGAAAGAGATACGATGACACTTCTTGTAAAGGGCAAAGCGGACTGGAGGATGGGAGAATTTTATCTGCAGAAGTTTTCTTAGATTCTTAAACAAGTAAACAAGTCAGGCTTCTGTAGATACGGTGCCTTGAGGGACCGTGATATAATTTCACATTCCTTTTGTTGTTGTTTCTTTGTGTTTAAACTGGAAGATATGG